CCACAAATCTGGCTTGAAACCTGGTGCTGGTTTGACAGGTGTGATGTTTTTTTTTAGCTAATGCATGATGCAGACAAAGGATCAGCCAGAGAGTAGGCTCTTCATGAAACCTGCTTGCTAAGTTTCAAGGTTAACATGAAGCAAAAAAAACCAAGACTTCTTAAGCAATGGCCTTAAAATACGGGGGTTTGGAATTCTTTATACTTGCTAAACATTCTTAGGAATAAAAAATAAAATCTGATATTTCTGACTGTTCCTACAATATTTACATAACTTGAAGAACACTGTTCTTTATAAAGATTGAATTTCATCTGAGAGTGGTATTAGTTGTTTTTCATGATCAGTCACAATGTTTGTCTTTAAATGAAATCTTAAGTCAGTCAAAATGAACAATGCTTGAAAGTGAAATTGCTCACCTCTGGGTTTCAGTGCTCTCAGCGGAACTCATCCTGCTGGAGTCCAGAGAAGGTTTCCCTTTCTACTAACACGCAGAGGGTTCACGTCCTTCACTTTGTAACAGAGAGTACCTTCCTGCTCTTCTACTCACATCAGGTTGCTTTTTTGATCTCTTGAGTGTTTAAGGATGTCAGAGGATTTCTCATCTCTTTCCGCCAGCACTAAAACATTGTTCCTCTCTTGGCCAAAGCTAAATAATACACATGCTATCACTACCTGTACACAGCACTGGTGTCTACTCAACATCATTTAGTGACTCTTTACAGCCTTCCCTTCACTAGAAGTCTAATTATCACTTGACTTATACTGTAAATAGAGCTATTCAAACATCCTTCATCTGGTCCTCACGAAAAACCTCCCCACACCTGCCTCACAAATCCAATTACATAAACTTTAATGTCACCCAGTCTTAGACATAATTATCTTTGTACTCATAAATTAAACTTGACTGTCCAGCTCAGCTCTAAAGAAAATATTTTCATCCCATCACTCCCTGTGTTTATCTAGCTGCGGTTTCAGTGACTCACTGCCTTTAGAGTGTTGTGTTAACTTTAAAAAGAAGGACCTGCCTTCCTCGCTCCATTTAAGTTATGTTTCAAAACACAGTTCCTTTCACAGTTCTTTAATACTCTCATCATATGAGGATATGAAGTGTTCACTTCTTTATTTATGTGAGAAAAAAATGGTACAAACAAATTCTTTAATCAAGAAAACCTATGATAAACAATAAAGTATTGTGTGTACCTCACTATCAATACAGAGGCAGCACTAGTCTGGCAGTATTCTATAGTTTAGTTATAGTTTTTAAAAAAAGTCCCATAACAATGGATTAGTGCATCTCTCAAATTTCTCCAAACTCCACTGCCTGGCTGTGGCACCCACTACCAACATGTTGGTTTCAACTGAAGACATAATGGGCTACAAATATATACTTTCGGTTTTTACAAGGGCTTTGTGAATCAAATGGAGGAAGAATTGCATTTGTTTCCAGCCATAGATTAATACAGGTTGGATGCACTAGCTAGTATTTGCTGCAGTAGGATGGACTGACACAAAATAAATGGCAGTGCATGTGCTCCTAGTGCTGAAGGAACATGCCATCCACTTCAAACGTGTGGCTCACTAAGTGCATTTTGAATAGTTCTGGAGACCTATGGCACTGAAGAATAAGACAAAGCTTTGGCTTGGGTGTGCGACCAATTAATTCATGTAGTGGTTAGTGAATGGAATTTACTGATAACAAGAAAAATACAAACTATCATCAGACTAGGGGTAATAAGCTTGTTTGTTATCCAGCATCAAATGAAACTGATATGCACTAGATTTCATCTCACTCTTTGAGACAGGAAACATTTTTCAAACATGAGCTATTTGGACATCAAGATGAACCTTTCACTGTGTATCAATATGAAAACAGTTTTAAATAAACAACCAAAGAGCTTCAATTTGAGTAAAATGCCAGTAGGTTTAACAGATCTTAAATACTGTACCTGTATTCATGCATGATTTGCTCATGTTTTGAGCCCTGGTGAATGTGTGACCCTAAACATTGGGTCTTTATTGTTAGATAATGTTACTGAAACACAGAAGAGTGTGTGAAAACTCCTTTTCCTTCAGTTCTGCCAGCACTGGTGTGAATTTCATGGAGCTGAGGTGCCATTTCACATGACAACTGGAAAGTTAACATGTGGGGAATGAGCTATCATTTGTAGATTACCGTAAGGTAAACAGTTCTCCACCCCTTTCCATTACAATTTAAACTACAATTGTGACACAGTCAGACAGTTAATTACAAAATGAGGCTGTGCAGAGCAGCTCTCCTACCTTGGTTTGTGATCCAATATTGCAGTCAGAGGTCAGTGTCACTCATCAGTTCCAGCAGCTGGACATGCGTGCCTGGGTCTTGTCTGCGTGTGCTGGGTCACATAGAGTGAAATGTTAAGGCAAACTGTGGCATAACAGCCAACCAAATGTTTGTTCAGAGGATAAGGTTGTAAAGCAGAGGGAGCATGTGATTGATGCATGATTAGCTCCTTATTGATCGTGCCTTGATTACCTGCTGCTGGAGTCGTTCGGTCTCTAAACAAGACAACGTCCAATGTTTCTTTTTCTTTTTGTATCTGTTATAGTTGATGCAGATTTTATAGCATATAACGGATTTATGATTTAATAGTTATAGCTGGTTTAGAAGGAAGGGCAGTAGTGTGCACGTGTGTGTGCGTGTGTAAACATAATCATGTGACCAGGATGTATGAAACTAGCAAAGTTAACAAATCCACCTCTGGTAAACAGAGCAGTCACCTCAGCAGCTCCCACCTGTCAGTCAGAGGGGATCAGCAGCCAGCTCCATCACAGACACGCTCACCTGTCATCACAGCTGCTGCTGAATCAGCTGACAGAGTACACTTCTTGTACTATTCTACAGTGTACATCAAAAATGGGTACACCCTTGTGCAAAAGCACCAAAATGTTAAATGATTCAAAATTGCACCATCATGAAATAACTGTATTATTTTTAAGGACAGGGGCCATGCTTAAGAAATGATGCCACGCACACGTTATTTACTCAACCTCGTACTGAAAAACAGACAGGTAAGTGTTTCTGACTTGACACAATAATTATCTGTGGAAACAACCTTCACAGATGGCACCCAAAAAGAAAACTAGCTCACAAAAGAGTACAAAACCGCAATCACCTTTATGGCCAAGTATGTTACACACAAGGGATTTGTTTCCGGTACAAAACTGATGGCAGCCATCTGCGGTGCCACCTCAACCAATGGCTCTAACCATCAGGGGCACAGGGGCGTTCAGTGTCTTGCTCAAGGACACTTTGACACCTGGACTGCCGGCACCAAGATTCAAACCTTCAACCTTTTGGGTGGGAGACGACTGCTCTACCACCGCACCACTGTCGCCTCCCCAATACTTGTAGCACATCCCATGATAAGATGAAGCCAGACCTACAGTGTGAGAGTGTGATGACATGGGGTTAGATGAGTGCAAGTCTGCATACCCACATACTGAGTGAAAAGGTGACTCTCAGTCTCAAGGAACTTGGTAGGAGAGGAATGTTTTTACATGACGCTGATCCCAAACACACTGCAAAAAACCAAGAGCTTTTAAAGAAGAAAAAAGTGAAAACTATGACCTGACCAAGTATGTCCCCTGACTTGAATCTAATCTAAGGTTAGAGCAACAAAATCCCTCCAACGAAGAGCAATCGTCTGCAGAGAATGGCAGAACATCTTTCAGCAGCTTTGTGCAAGACTGGTGCCATCCACCTCCCAGCAGGATCCAGTCTGTCAACACAAATCAAGGTGGACTTATACTGTAAATATCAAAAGAATAAAGGAACGGGCTCACACTACCGAAGGGTGTGCTGTAGTGGATATGGACAGACAGGATTTGTAATTACAGTAGCAACATACCTATACTCACTGTAATCAGTTCAACCAGATTCATGCTGCAATATCTCCAGCTGCATTTGTCAGCTCAATACAGATACAGAAAATCAATCTCATTTTGACTTAATCAGCGTTTGGTCTATAACATTTGTGCTTCTAAGCTGTTTTGAACCTCAGTCACCATGGCAGCCAGCAGCAGTTGTCACAGTTCAGGCAAACTAGGACAAAATGCAGGAAAATAACCCTCTGAAACATTTTCTATTATGACTCAGTGTTAGTACACTGAAGCCAACATGTGTGTACAGAAAATGACTTCTAGCATTTGGTGTTTAACATTAATGGAAAATAGGTGTTGCCTGTTTTTTTCATTGCTTCCTTATTACCTTGTTATTGTCCCATATCACCCCCTGCTTTCCGGTTTTAGCATTTAGCAGAGCCCTCCCTTCTCCCGCCTGATGTTTCCTTCATGTTTTTGCTACATTGCCACCATATTACTGCAAAATAAAACCAGTATTACTTAGATTTTACCTGGCCATTATATTTGTAACTACCATGGCAACATCCTACTACTGTATTACACTGTTGATTCTAAGCTATAAACCCCTTATTTCCTTGTTCCTGTGTCATTATTCAGCTATAATGTAAAGTGCTACCTTTGTATTTATCTTGTTTCTGTCCTAGATTACTTTACAGGTTATTCTCACTTGGACAGTATCATGACAACAGATCAAAACATTTATTTTTCTTCACAGTGTGTGTAGCATAAGTGTATTTAAAACAGTGTCATCTCAGTTCCTTGGTGCATTATTTTTAATGAATGAAAGAGCACTCTGTAATCCTCCTAAGACCAGAGTATTAAGTAAAAACCACTGCACATGACCGCTGTTTCCTTATGTCATCTCAACAACTCATTTTCCAAGTAACAGCTTGCAAAATAACCTCAAACAAAGTTTAAAAGTCTCAGGATGTGTATTATCAAGTGTTTGCAGACACACCCAAGATACGGTTCAACAGCTTCCAAGCACAACCACAGTCTTTTACTGGTGAGCACATGTAGATTGTTCTGCTTTCACTCCCCCCCAGCTCTCCTCTGGACTGGGATTTCAACCAGTGAGCTCTCGGCCACAAAACCTGCTGCGCCACCTCATTGTTCTACATGATCATCTGGTTTTCGTCAGCCTCAAAAGGATGATCTCTGATAAATATCTGTGAAAGAAGAAACAAGAAAATTAACACAAATAGTGGAAAACCTTTTCATCTGAAACATTTGTGACTACAGTGCAACCTTTAGTCATGTTGTCTACATTTTCCCAAAGTTCTTTGGCTTTCCAAACAATAAGCAAAATTTGAACAGAGGTGAACATTTCTGGTTTTGCTAAAAACTATAATTTTATATACATTCACAACACAAAATCTATAATCTATTCAATATTTACAGTTTGCAGACAAAACAAGGGCGCAGTCTAATGCTACAGAGGGCTTCATCAAGGCTGAAACTCAAAGCCATGTTCACATCATATCAGAGGAACCAGAAAAACTGGATGATACTGGAATTATATAACCTGGGCAGCAAAAGCTGTGAAATCACTGGTCTCGTAATATTTTGTTTCATCATGCATTCTCTGATAAACTAAATCACCAGCACAGTTTGCTGCTTGTATTTGGGGTCCCTCTGGTACGATGCAGACGCGTGACGACATGCTGACGGAGGTCATGTATCATGATGCAGTTTTGAACTGGGCAGTCTTCAGCCTGGCATGTCAACTCACCACAAGCTCGATTTAGTAGCTGTCATTTGGATCATATCACATGACAGCCATTACCAAATGAGCTTTTCCCAGTTATTATTTTTAAAGGATGAGAATCTACATTTCCGTGACAACAGTGCATGAAGACCATATGATATGATTAAATGCTCTTAAAACTAAGAGCTTGTAAAAGTGGGGAGTTCATTTTCTCAGCTGCTGTTTTCCAAAGCCAGAACATTTTGATAGGTCCAGTTGAAGTACACAAAGCAGGAGACATGGAGAGATGTTCTGACATGTCAGGCTAGAAGACAGTTTTTGAGTAACATCCACACAGCTCAATAGGTGGCTGGATATACAGATAAATGAACAACTGTGTCACATTAGTAAAATGAGTAAAACATTTTATCTCCACTCACATTATGCTATGATGACAGATAACTGCCCCCAGTCAATAGATTCTTCAGCCACAGATGAGTGGGAATGGGGCCGTGTTGGAATGAAAATCAAAGCATGTTGGCACCTTGACTGTACAGTGTAAGATTTGAAACACACTTTTCTATTTACATTTTCATTAGGCCAGGGCTAAATAGATGCAATAATTGCATGGTAATTTCATGGGTACCAATTCCCCCTCATACTATTGTCTACAGAAGAACTGCAAAGGGCTGCTGAATAACCTTGAGGCTTAAAGGAGAAATGAAGCTGCAAGCTCAGACAGATAGCTCTCGGCAGCTAAGGCTGGGCTTCCTACCTGACGTGCTGGTGGCGGCGAGGTTTCAGAGGAGGAGCTGCAGTATGAAGACTCTGGCTGATTGATGAAAGAGGTTTGTTTGGGACAAAGTGTGGAGGGGTGGTGTTGGACATGGCAAAACAGTGAGGATGAGGTGACTGGCTGATTGTTGGGAAGTTCAGACAGATGTGCTTGGCTCTTTAATAGGACAGCAGGAGTTTGTAGTGGTACTATAACATGACTGACTTTAAAGCTGAGCGGGGGATTAAGGATTAGAAGGCAGAAGCAAAAGGTTTAAGGAGACCATCCAGAGGATGTGGTTTGGAGATAAGGATGTTTTTGTTTGGCTTTCCAAGGGCAGAAGGTTTTAGAGAAGGCATTGTTGATTTTGCAGGAAAAATCTTAGCAAGATCAGGAAACAAGGTTAATTTTGCTGATGCTTTGGATGAAAATTTTAAAGGAGGAATAAGCACACTGTCCTGAATGAGCTGTTTGGTTGCTAATAAAGGAGCAGAAGATTTTAGAAGAACTGATTAGTTGACAAGAAGGTTTCAGAAGAGATTTCACAACAGGTTGGTCTTTGAGGAGCAGAGGGTTTCAGATTGGGTCCATTAATGACGAGAATTAAGAGTCTAAAGGCAGTTGAAAGGATCAGGAGATTTCAGAGGGGGGAAACTGGTAGAACTGGAACTCTGATACCAGAAAATGTCAAAGGAAGAGAAGGAAAGGGCTCTTTGTCTTCAGGAGGATGAAAAGTTGGATGAAGACAGGTTTGGAAGGTCGAGGCAATGAGTGTTCACAGGAGGAGGGAGGAGCACAGATCGCCAGAAGCAGCAAGAACCTTTTGAGGATTTGAAGGCCACCAGGTGAATGGACAGATATCCAGGGGGCTGAGAGAAAGAGCAAAGGACGGGTGGAAGGGTTGGAGTTAGGAGTACAATGCATCAATACCTGCAGGACTGAGGACCAGGGCTTGCAGGAGGTCAGATAAAGAAACAATCCCTCTCACCACATCGTCATTGTCAACCAATACCAAACGATGCACCTGACAAAAAAAAAAAAAACATGGCAGACTTGTGTACTTATACCTGATTATTGTGCCACTACAGTCTACCCAGACAAAATGAGTCATCACTGACAGCTTGTGCAACATATTGAAAGGTAATGGAGGTGAGAAAGAAAAGTAAATCATTTGTTATTTAAACAATATTCATGGTACATAAAGGTACAGTACAGACTTTAGTGCATGCGTGCTACCTCAGCCTTTGCAATGCGGTCAATGATGATCTCCAGTGTTTCATGAGGGTAACACTTGAGGACTCCTTCCACCCAGCAGGCTCTGGAGGCAATGGCCTCCTGCATCGTCATGTTCAGGTTGTTATAATTTTTCTGAGCTGCGAGGTTCTTAATAGTGGCAAAGAAAGGGCCACAACCAGACAAAAGTGAATTGTATATCACAGTACATGTTTTCTTATATTACTGTTGCAGCGATCAAATAAATCAACTTACAATGACATCAAATCTAGAGTAGAGTGCCACCACTTTACCTAGACAGAGGTGTATAGTCCACAGATGGAACAGAAAGACAAAACACAGGGACAGATGTCAGCTTATTATGCAGAAGCAAAATCATTTGACCTCTGTTTGGCTACTCTGACTGATGATCAGGCAAATTTCAACACTAGAAACACAACTAAAAATGGGTCGAAATTTAGATAAAATTCATTCAACATATAAAACATTTTGGCACAATTATCAGCGAGTAAATCGACATTAAGTGCTTATAGGCAAACCCACCATATGTCACATTTGATTCTAACAGAAAATACTAATAAAATGAATGAAAACATTACAGTAAATCCCAGTGTAATGTCAAACTACCTTGCTCATTGACCACAGGCAGAGCGGACACTCTTCTCTCTACAAAAATGGTCAAGGCCTCATAGACAGAGGCAGATTCTTGGACTGTTGCAATCTCTTTAAAGGTACCGATCGCCACCTCGCTGATCTGCTTTTGAAGGAACCTGGGTTTAGGAATCATAGATCCCTGTAGAAGAAGAAGGTTATATAAAATTCAAATCAAAACAGGACAAAATAAATACTGCGTCATAAAAATCTTTTTCTAAAACACACATGGAGCCTGGACATCTTTTGAGTTCTGGGATTTACAGAGAAGCATGTACTTACAAAGATGTAGAGGAACTTGAGGATGCGTTTATGAGTGAGGATGTGGAGGACGTTTCCTGACACTGGGTCAATGACCGGCAGCCGGTGGATCTTATTCTTCAACAGTGAGTAGATGGCATCAAACAGACTGAGAAGACAATAAACCTTGTGATTAGGATTTTTAATCATGGAACAAACATGGCAAAACAAGACACATGATAGCATATTCCTGGTAGGATTTGACTCTCTGCTGTTAGGTACTAGTTTTTTTTTTGGCTTTTTTTTTAACAGCACTAACAGCTCAGTCAAAAGACTACAGCCTAGGATACAGTGAGCTCTGGCTGTAAAGTCTGGTCTGAGGTCAGTACACCGGAGCACCGAGCTGACATTGACGTGACAGACAAAAGTTATGTTATCTGATGCCTGTTCTCAGAAAAAAACACATCACATATGCACCAGAGATGCTGACATTCTGCAAACTAAAATGACAAAAACTGCAATAGCACTTAATAAGATGGTGAAGTGCAAATATGATCCCTGATGAGTCAGTCAGTTATATCAAGTGATGGATTCACCTTGAGTCAGGAGTGATGCTGATCAGTCTGTTCACCGAGTACTGCAGATAGATCTCTGGGAAGAGAGAGGCCTTAGTAACACAACATGAAACTATTGCTAATGGTTTTAAAAAATGAAATCTTTGTTTATGAAATTAATCACTTTGGCACTAAGCATACTACGGCTGTGTTGCACACACCTCTCCATGTTTCTATCTTGTGCTCCTCCAGCTCATAAATCTGAACCTGCCGACAGAACAAACGACATCTTAAATCCAACACAACAGTGATTTGGGCTTTAGTCTGAGCTGATGTGTATCAGTCCAATCTTTATGTCAGTTATCTTGTGCAATTCTAGTTTGGTAGAATTTTTGCTTTTTTGTTTTTTAATCGAACAATATGTGACATTATGAAATACTGCACATCAAATTAACACCACACGGCCATGGGCGTGCAAAGTAACTTTAAAGCCTTTTTCTGTAGAAATGTTTGATCGGAAGCAAAGCTCACCAGAGGAGACTTGTAGTAACGATGGAGAATATTGATGAAGTCAGTGATGGTCAACATACCTGCACACACATACACACACACATGCACTGTGCTTTCATTCCTTGTGGGGACTTTACATCGACTTACATTCATTTCCTGTAGACTTGTCCTAACCTTAACCATAACCACTATTTGCCTAACCCTAACCCTAACCCTAACCTTAAACCATGTTGCCACCCTAAAATTCAGTGATGGCCAAGTCCCCACAATGTGAGTATAGTATATTAGGAGGTTTCGGTCCCCATAATGTAAGTAATACAAAGGCATGGTTAAAGTACATGGTTAGATCCTTACTCTCACTGACATATTCTATGATGAAAATGACTCATTGCAATAATAATTTTGTTAAATTTCTAATGAGACAAAGACAGATGTATCATGGCTCACCCACAAAGCACTGAAGCTTGCTGTCCCACAGTGGTGCTGCCCTCACACCATTAGCCACCAGAGCAAAGAAAGCCTTCTTCACCTGACAAAAAGAGTTTTCCATTATAATCCAACACTGTCCTGCAGTTTAAACAGCTGTGGGAGTTTCTGCTATAAAGACAAGGAAATGTAAAAAAAATTCAAGAATTCCAATATGCCTAGACTGGCAGTTTATGCATCTTGAAATCTTGAAATACCTGCAATGTGGTGTCGAAGATGACCAGTTTGGAGCTGGTAGGAATAGCATCATAGCAGCAGTGACTCTTCATGAAGTTTGTGTATATGAACATGTCAAGGTCTGTGTCTGCAGGGGGCGCAAGAGCTGGTGTTGCATAAGTACCTAATTGAAAACACATGACATACACTAGTGTCAAGAGAAAAACTGTCCTAAAATCCAAATCACAACCATTTTCTCAGTTACTGAGATAAGTGCTGGGTCTTTGATTTGAGAGCAGCTGTGGTTTTCATATTGAAGTCAATCAGACTGGAGGTTGTCTGCACATTGGCTGTGACAGCGTGGTCAGTGCCTGACTGCTTATGATCAATTTCCTTTACTCCACAACTGCAATGTACTCTGCAATGCATACAAACACATACTAACAAAATCTCCTCTTCTTTACCTCTGGTCTTCATCGAGATAACATCCTCATCCTCTTCTGGATCCATCTCAAATAATGGGAACTGGAGAAGGAAGCATGGCAACAGCTTACTGAAGGCACTGAGGTAGGAATTGGCCTCGAGTTGTAGCAGCCAAAAAAAAGTTACCTCTCCCATCAGAAACATGTCATGTGAATAGAAGTACTTTAGATTAAATAGGACACACACGCACACAACAGTTAAACATGAAGGTGAAGTTTAACACAAAAACCTACTGCAATATGGGACATACTGTATGGTTGTTGAGCACCATGGCATGGTGATGCATTGGTTAGCATTATCACTTCACAGCAAGGAGGTTCTGGGCGTGAGCCCCAACCGACCGGAGGTCTTTCTGTGTGGAGTCTGCATGTTCTCCCTGTGCCTGTGTGGGTCCTCTCTGGGTACTCTGGCTTCCTCCCACAATCCAGAGACATGCAGCTTAGGTTGAGTGATGACTCTATATTGCCCCTGGGAGTGAGTGTGTGTGGTTGTCTGTCTCTAAGTGTCAGCCCTGTGATAAACTGGTGACTTGTCCAGGGTGGACCCCACCTCTCACCCAATGTCAGCTGGGATTGGCTCCAACACCCCCGCGACACTGTTCGGGGATAAGGGGTATAGATAATGGATGGATGTTTTCAATGCTTCTTATTCCAAAAGTAAAAGTTTGTTGAACTGGAAGGTCATCATAGGTCCGTATTTGTACAAACAGTAAATAACATCTTATAGGAACAGAGGAGCACATCAAATGTTCAAATTATAATTTGGTTGCATTTATGAGTTCATATAAATGTAGTGGACTGTGTGAAATAGCACATATAGTTTCATATAATCACAGGCCCCTGAATCGAATTGAAATGATCAGATCACTGAGAATAAATATACAGTAGGATCTTTATTGTGATGAACCAAAAATGTATTCTAACATATACAATGTTAAAACCACTGCAGGTGAAGTGAATAACACTGGCCATCCCATATATGCATATATAAAACTATTAATAGACAACCCAAGTTGTAAAATAATAGGGTTTTGATGAACATATGACAACCATAATGAAACAACAAGCAGCTAGTGCCTCTTAATAATAATACGTTAAAAATGCTCAGATCAAAAATTGTGTGATTCTTTTGGGGCAGCTTGTATTTTGTTTCTTTCTAAACTTTTCCATTAGATGGAGAGAACATGCTGGCAGAGCACTGCCCCTGCTGCAGCCAGCTTGATCTTTCACCTCTGGAGCAAAGTTTGGAAGCCCAGCTCACCATATCAGCATGAGTATCTCTGTCCTGTCTGAGCCCAGTACAGATGGTACAGTAATTTGGCTGTCCTCACAGTTCAAGTTATATCTGTAATCTATTTGAGCACACATTCATACAGGTTGTGAATATGCTTCACTTTAAAAGGTTCATATAAACAAATGTAAAGCAAAAAAAACAAAAACAAAGCTAAAGATGAAAAGAACTGCAACATACAAGTAGCCCCTGTGGGGTTTTTTTTTATAGCTTCTCAATTACAAGTCAGGTCCAAACACACAGCAGCACACATGCTTTGATCACAGAACAGTCCAAAGAGTCAGCAGAGTGTTTTACCTCTGGAAAAGGCTCCATCGCTGGGGAAGTGGAGCGGGAGGTCTGCCTCTGTGGAACCAGACCAGCTGGCCAAATCCTGGGCATCAAAACAAAACACAATACCTTTACGACATGCAGCCCAACTGAAGCATCTTTGATGTTATGCTAGTGTTTAGATAGAGTCCAGGCATGATGAATAAGAAGCAAGAAAGAGACTGAAAAGAGAAATGGAAAAACTGGACACAAAGGACGAGTGAGACGCCAGCGACCGGCTTCAGACAGATGGGTGTGAATGTCTGGGAAAGACTGATGTCTAAATCTGGACTGAGGGGTGAGAGGCCTGTGGCATTCAAAAAGAGGGGGGAGAGTGGGAGGGGAAACGTGAACAAGGACATAAACAGACACCCTGTATGTTCATGAGATGACGAACATTATGCATACCTCTTTATCAACTTCAGGTGAAAGCAGGATTAACATTAGGAGAAAAAAACAAAAACCACAGAAAACTCAGGAGACAGAACTTCATCAACACGGAGCAACCTTGTGCTCAGAGACGACATCCCATTCACTAAAACTGTGTAAACTTTCTGATCGTGGAAAGGACAGAGCCCAATTACCACTAAATGCTAACAGAGATGGATGACATTAACATGACAGCAACACCATCCTAACCTACAGCTTGTTACAGAACAAAGGGCAGGTATACTCAATGATTCGGGTCTTGCACAGGTAAACTTTTAGCAGTGTGGCCTTTGGAGTTTTATGAAACCATTGCTCATCGTGAGTGGCACCCTGCAGCTGACAGCTGGCCTTTTTCTTTAAACCTGCAGTAAATTTATTTTGGCCACCCATGGCCAGTGCAACAAGCTGTAAAGACAACACTGACATCTTACGATATTATGTTGTTATGGCTAATGTGTTAGCAGCCACTTGCCAATATACAAGTCTAACAGACACAAAGCAACATTCATTTGGAGTCTTATTTCTAGGTGCTTAACAAGTGTAATTTTTACTCTCCTTTAAGCTCTGTTTTGGTTTTAACCAACTCCTAAGGGAAATATTTGGCTCTTTTGCTTCTCACTGCTCCACTATGTTCACCAGCTAGTAACTTGGTGGGTTTGTGTCAGGCAGGTACTATTGCATACGGTGGCCAACGTTTCCTGTAGAAACACAACACTGATGAGAGTGGTGAACGTCAACCTAAGCAAGGTTGTGGGCTGCAAAACCAAAAGCACGAAATGACAGATTCTAAAACACTCCAAAAAGCTGAGGAATGTAAAGATGGGTGAAAATGACCTACACCAAGGAGGTGATGTTGTGTTCTTACTGGCATTTGGTTTGTTTGTTCACAGTACGAGTCAAAAAGTTGGATGAATGGATTTTGATCACATTTTTTGGAGGTAGGGTATGGCCCACAGAACAATCCAATAGATTTTGGTGCCGATCTGGATCATTATCTCGATCCACTCATTTTTTTTTAAATGGCACTAAGGGGAAACTCATCTGTCTTGGTGGAGTTCTGCACTCTCTGAGTGCTGTCAGTTCTCTGGGAGTCTGTCAGGAGAGACATCTTTCACATTACACATGGTCACTGAACCTACTAACATAATGAAAAAAGATTAACTAGTGCAGCTTTAAGGGTTTGACAGTCCTCCTGTGGGAGACGTTCAAGTTTCACCAGGTCTATTTATAGCTACACTGAATCCAAGCAGACTGTCCCCTCCTTCTCACAGAGCTGAGTTTACATGCAGCCTTAGAATTCTCCTAAATACTCAAACATGTAATCAACACAACATTTTTACCAACACACTTCAAAATTTGTTCCAAATTAAGTTATATTACCTGTTGCTCCTTCAACTCAGAGCATCCTCTGTCAAGTCAAAGTTGTGCAGATACAGAAAAAAATCAAATCAAATATTGATAATAAATAAATAATTATGTAAATAGTCAGCACAGAAAGTCGCTGCAGATAAGTTCTACAGTACTTGCTGCTACCGAGACCTACTGGCTAAACACTGCATTAATTCACCACGTACTCAGTTACATGCTGGATAAACAACTCATCAGTTTACAAGTGATAATTCTGATTACAGCCATTATACAGTGTCTTACTAAGAGTAAATGTGGTCCATTCCTAATAAAAAGGCATGTTCCTCCAGAGTGTGACCTTTATGAAATACAAAAATAAAAAAAAAACTGAGTTTTGTCATATAACTAATAAACACGGTTTTAAATCACCAACATATAGACCCATCATAAGACTTGCACCACAAATAACTTTTATTTTGACATTCTCATCCTGAGCAACTTATACAGACCTTTCACATAGAAACAAGTTATTAGAAAATATAATTTCCATGTACAAATTCCAGTGAAGTTTGATTATTTACCTTTGACATATATATTAGTTCTGGACAGTGAAGTTTGCTAAAAGCCTCAAAGAAGATTTGCGCTACTAACAATTTTCATGTTCACTTACAGACTGATAATTGGTCAGTTTTGTAGGTTTTAGTTCTGTAATCCTATATTTTAGTGGTGTACAAAATGAGACAAGTTTTAACAAATATGCTAAATGAATGCTGCATCATGACTGAACAAAAACACAAAACCAGTTGTAACGGCCTTCTGGTGCTGACCTTTTATCGTAGACATGATGCTAGACTAAAACTGTGTGAGGCCCAGTTCAGACAGTGAAACGTTGGGTCCAATGAGCATAAGAGATTCCTCACACAGAGGGGTGAGAATAAACGGACAAGAAATTTAAATGTACATAAAGGCAGATGAGCATATAGCTACTCTGTTTAATTAAGTCCTGATCGGACTCCAGGCAGAAGATTTCTGATGCTAGCTTGTGCTTCCACATCACATCTTATTGTTAGATCTGTGTTAAAAATCAGCATTTTCATTTGTTTCCTTCTACTTCATGTATAACAATGAAATGTTACTAAGGTTTTCATGAAGATGTGAATGTCTGCTCTACACAAACTGCACAGCGGTTTGGCATCTGAGTAAATTGCATAATGCAACTTGTCTGTAAACAAGCTGCTTTCCACATGTTGTGCAACTCCTGACAACAGGAACAAAAACTTTTCAAATAATTTCCACTGAAACATGCACAACTGCAATTGCAGAATTTTAAATATTCACAATGTAGAAGGTTTTTTGATGTGATCTGCTCCCTGCCAGTTACGACAGATGATGGCTTTAAGACAAAGTGTTCCCAGACGTTTTCAGCTTCAAACAGCGTGATGTTTCTGAATGTGTCCTCACAGTACACGTATATTTCTGAGGATAGAATTAGAACTCTTATACTGGGCTGAAAAAAAACTAGAAAACATCAACTGGACTAGATTTCTAGGTCGAAGACGTTTCACCTCTGATCCAAGAGGCTTTGTCAGTTCTGTCCGACTGGTGGTGAGCAGGAGATACTGTACTTATCCCCATCAGTGGTGTTTCAGTCCTTTGAAGGCCAACAATGTCCTCTAACGACTGAGTCATTGTAACCCAGTATCGGTGAGCACTGTTACCTGTCTTTGAATCCTCCCGTCAACCGGCGCCTATTGTCCTGGTGGGCATGTTTGGGCAGAGATCTCAAAACAGGATTGTAGATGGAAGACAAGTTGTGTCTTAGTCCACCACCCGTATTTAGTAAGGGGTGTTCTATTTTTTACAAAAATATCTTCCTTGACTCCTCTCTCAAACCAGCCATGTTCTCTGGAGAGGATCTGGACTTCACTGTCCTCAAAAGAATGGCGTTTGTCCTTCAG